ATATATATAATTAGTATAGCATAAAGGAAAACTGGAGCAAAAGGCAAAACAAAATCCCCAAAGTAGCATATATGCTAATACTGTATTCATTTCTCTAGTACCTTTCAGCCTTAGAATGTGAGCTGTCCATGGTGCTGATTAGGGGTGAGATTCGGGTTTGTCGCTACCACAGGCTCACATTGAATCCCTGAGTTTCGAATAATGCATGAATCACAAACGTTTGAATGCAGAGTTTGAAGGTTTGCCACTAGAACTAAAGAACAAGTTATAATGCAGTGCATAGTCATTTTCCTGGTCAGCTGAGACACAAGAACAGATAGTTTGAAAGAATGGATAAAAGGGTGGTATCACAGCAGCTATATACTGACAATTCTGTGTAGCAAATAAATTATATATATTTAAAAAAACTGGAGCATCACCTAACAAAACAATTGCAACTTAAGAAGTCCCCATGACCACTTCTTCAAGAAGCGACAGTTCAGCTTTTTGCCTGGAGTTACGCGTCTTCTTCAAGTCTATTTAACGTCTTTTATGAACAACATTACACTAGCAACATAAATGTGGTGCACAATGCGTCAAATATTTTCCGTGCAAGTTCAAACAATTGCTATAATAAATTCCCCCCACTGTATTTTTGGAATTCCTTCCATATCGTAAAATGTTCAGTGTTCAGTGTTCTAGTCTAGACACGTTTGCCAGACACCGTAGCCAGGTCCTGGTCTTTTTTATTTCCACTGTGGTCAAACAATACAGCTTGGTCAAAACTGTGTTTGGATAGTGAAAGCAACAACAGTTTATTAATGAGATCATTTATGTGATCTCTCATCCAATCAGAAAGCTTCATGTAGATTTGCACTGCAGTACTGTGCAATGTAGCAGAGCCTGACTGGCTAATATATTGCCACTTCCTCTTACATTCTAAATGAGGATGTGCAGAGGATTACAGGAAACTGATACAAGATCAAATCAAGGTACAAATCAATTTGTGTTTAATGCATACACATCTGCATGAAATAGAGATCTTTTCTCTCACTCCACTTACATTTTAGAGAGACCCTGTCACCTAAAAAAAAAACATGTGATAAGCATATAATGCAGGGACCCAGAGGTGCCTTACATATGTGCAGCAGTTCTCAATCTCCTAACCAACAGGGGATAACACATTTTGGTTTAAGAGAACCTGTCAAAGCGAAAACCATCTATGTGAGGGACGCCATTCACAGGTTTAACTTCCCCACCCTGGAACTTGTATGTGTCCATACTAAAAGCTTCTCTTGTACGTTTCTCTGTGAAACTGGTTTCTTTTAGGGCCGCACATACAGTAGGTGGCAGAACAAGAAGAAATCAAATCCTGGATCAAAAGAAAAAGCTACCAGCATGCCAGGGAAAGAAAAGTACCATTTATTAAATCTTCTCAACAATGGAAATCTCTGTGGATACAAAGTTGGCAAAGTGACACTTATCATCTGAGGCTTGAGTGTGCCTCTGAAGACCAGAAATACATCAATCATATGACTGAGATAGGCTCCCAAGATGGAGCGCCATTCACCACACACAAAATCCCTGGATTTCTGCTGCTATGTAGATTTATTATCTGTAACTCCTATGTGTTGGTTATATGCGTAGCAAAGTCTTATAATTTAATTTTTCCTGCAGTGTCTAATATATGATGTTCATACAGCTTATTTACACTGAAAGAAAATCATTTTTATAGCTCTACCCACTTGGTGAATACTTGTTAAAGCTGAACTCCAGGTAAGTAATACAAGATCACCATTTATTACAGGATTCACAGTAGATATATATAGAATAAGAAAGGTATCATTGCACACTGCAATACTGCATTTTTGTCTTTTTTGACATCTTGTCTACTGGACTAATACGGCTTACCGATTTATATTGCACTATATATATATATCTGGACTCGTGCTGGGAAGGATAGCTATGGCAGTCAATCAGGACTATGTTTTAAGCTAACCATACACTTACAGATTTTGTTTGTTCAGCCTTAGGGCTAAGCTAATTAAATCTGCCAGATTCCCCCATCCACGCCAAGCAGAGGGATGGAAAAATCTTCCCCACTGGATTGTTGTATTCTGACTTTGACTACATCTGATTGATTGAAGTCACTGTTTGGCTGACAATTTTCAACCCGACTCCTTTAAGAAAAGTTGATTAAATGATCGACTTTTGTTGAGCCGAGTGGCAGGGCCACAAAATTCTCAAATTTCAGCCTAGTCGTTGGGACTTGGCTGACATTCAAACAGTGTATAGGGAACTTTGGTTAGTTAAACCATACGTTATAGTTTGGAAAAAATTTTTACACACTACGATGTCCAGGCAGAGACAGGTCAAGAAGTACTTGAAATAAATTGTACTACACCTAGAGTACTTTGTAAACACTGGTGTTCTGTCGAGGTGGCCAACTCGTCGAGATCTCCAACTAGTGACGTCACAACCGTTGTAGATGTCGAGTGCGCGTGCGCCAGCCATCACAGTTTTTGCAATCCGCATTGACTTCTTGACTTACCGTAGGTGCGTCTGTGTGGCTTCAAAATTGTCATTGAGTTCTCCAACTCCCATCGGTGCTTGTGGCATCAGGTGCACGAGCAGGCGCACTGCCGCAGATTGGTTGCGCAGGCGCACGTGGGAGTTGGAGTTCTCGACGAGTTGGAGAATTCGATAGAACACCGGCTTTTATAAAGCGTTCCATTGTTTACTGAAGTTGATAATGCAGCCTAAGACACATTTTGCTTGTTCTCAATTGAAGCGATGAACCTTTATTTCTTCCCATCTTTAAATATAAATATAGTTACAGAGTAATTCTACATTTCACAGTGCCATGGCTACCACTAATGATATCTGCAGTAGTAGTTCTCACAGCGTAAAAGCAAAATAATATAAAACTTTGCACTGATATTAAGAAAAACACACTTCTCGAAAGGTCGCCAAATACGACTTCATGCAGATGTTGGAAAATGCTTATCGGAGACAAGTGTCACAGCTGTTCTAGTTTGTAAGATTACAAAAAAGGAAAACATCATAAGAAATATTGATGGGGGCTAACTGTACAGACGAGGATAGAACATGAAAACACAATTATCAAACGTTGCCACTTACACTCGCATTTATGGCATGATTCCACCAAAACTTTTCTATAGTATGTAGTGGGAGAGCGGTTTAGATCGCTAAATATAACCTGTTAACAGTTTTGTCTTAGTTCCCTCAGCTGGGAATATTGCTAATATGCAAATTATCGGATCTCCTGATGCCAACACCAAGAGAAATATTTTTATGTGTGACTCCCCCCCTCCCCTCCCCCCAAATGAAATGCTGAGTTAGTTAAAAAGCCCCATAATCTTAATGGCCCAAATACTCACTTAAATACATGGTCGCATGACATGGCGGGTTCCAAGTCTTCTATGTTCTTTGCTGTAGGGGGTGTCCTTCCTCATGTGCCTATGTCACTGCCTGGTGACAAAGACACATCTTATTGGCTGTCCAGCAGCAGGGTCCTCTCAGGATCCATAAGACCTCAGCGGCAAGGTATTATCTTGAAGAGGGGGTCAGGGCACAGACCCCTAGTGAGAATAAAAAATGCATCTGTAGCTTTTTTTTTTTATTTGAATAATTGCATAATGGGTGGGAGGGACAGGGGGAGGGGAAGCTTTGCCTGGAGATGGCTTTAAAGACAAACTGAAGTCACAGAAATAGATATTTAGACAATTAGTTGTTGTACTAGCAACCTCTAATTTGATAGACTTACGCCCATTTTCCTGATCCAACAGTTGTGCAGGGTGTCAAGAAATTGAGAAATTTGACAACACAGTCCAATGGGCACCAGATTCAGATCTTGTACACTCAGTAATCAGCACTCAGTAACAGACCTATTTTGACACACTCCCTCTCTGGCTCTGCAATACAAGTCTGGGTGGGGGCACTTATGCTTATAAGGGATGTTACTGCTATCGCTCTGAAGTGAGAGAGCAGAAAATAAAAGGGTTTTTAAGACATTTCTAGGACTATGAGACATGAGACTTCAAATGGACTTTAAGGACAGGTTCACACCTGCGCGATCAGTGACCGCGCGGTCATGGATTCGCCCATTACCGTCAATCGTGCTGGAGGTGCCATTATTTTCTAATGGTACCCCAATCGCACCAGGTGCCTGCATCTCTTGCATTGAATTAAATATGAATTCTGCTTTCTATGGTGTCATTGCCATACTTTTTTTAGTAGCACATAAAAAACTAAAACAGCTCTCGTAGCAGATGCTTTGCTGAATCAATGACAATCAAACCCAGCATGTCTCCTCGCTCCAGCGATGGTATGTCCCTCAGCGTCCTCATGTTCTATACACTGTATATAATGTGATAAACAACAAACAGAAAAAGAGCACAGCGCTCTCTTAGGAATGTGGGGTCTGTGTGGGTGCAAATGATCTGGATTGCTGCTCTAAGAACAGGGGGAGAAACCTGTGAACTGAGAAAAAGGAGAGCGCAAATCCTGTGAGAATCCCCTCACATTCCCAGGATTTGCGCTCTAGTTTTCCCCCTCCTTTTTGTATATAATGTGATGACTCACAGGACCTTACACTACTGGAGCAAAGGTGGAGAGAGGCTGGGGGGAGTGGTCTAAGAGCAAGTGGGGATCTAGGTTCGGGTGAGTATAACTTTGTTATTTTAGCTCCCTAGACAAAACCAGACAAAAACAGATTTGATTTGCTCGGAGTTCTGCTTTATAGAAAAGAGCCCTAGGCTAAGTCTAAAGTTAAAGAAAAAAACATCTGGTTCCGTATCTGGAATAAATACACAAAGTACACCAAGATTCGAGGT